AAAAAAAAAAATCAAATTTACACTGTCATCCTATGCGACAGAGAAATTGGCATGCTTATCCCCATATATATTTGTCTCACTCACTCTTTATTGTAACATATCTTTAAATCCAGTAATGTACTTGACGCGTTACATACTTGCACTTGCACGCATCCAATGCATAAACAAATACAAATATAATACGTATAATACTGATAGTATGTAAATGTCACACCAGAGAGTAAGTAAGAAGAACATATATCGACGTATTTCGAAGATTCCAGACGTAATACACACACATGCATACGAGATGGGTGGCTCGAAGAGTATATAAACGACCGTCTAACCGCATTTTGATGGGGGGAGATGTTAATAGGAGGTATGTGGGCAAATGTGATTTGTGTTTCTAATAAAATAGATTAATTTCATTTTTAAGAAAGAAAATGTGATAAAATAACCTAACATTCAAAGTGGTTCCATGATTTATTGAATTTTTTTCTATCTAAATGGAGAATTCATTAGAAACTCGGTGCAATTTGATCAATGTTTGAAAGTTTTAGTGATGATTCATCGCTTCATAGTATTTCGTCATTCTATGAAATACTTGAATGCAACAGCTTTTTTTTCGTCTTAGGTCTTATGCATATGGATTTTTCAAGTATTTTATTTTATTTCAGAAAAATTTGGGATTGTAATAGTAATATTTGTGATTTTGATAATTTCGGCCCTTGGGACCTATGTGGTCTTAAGGGCCTTTCGCGCTAATGTAAAAAAGAAAGACAATAAAAATCATATATGTAAGGGAAAGTATAGATGCGGTGGAGGGCAGCTTGAGCTGAAAAACCAACTTGGCTCGGGTGCCTATGGGGTTGTTTGTGCCGGATATTTTAAAAACTCTGAAAATGGGGTGAAATCGGTGGCTGTAAAAATCATCAAGCCAACGGAAAATCGAAAGGTATGCCACTCAATTATCTGAAACGCTTGATTTTACTTATTGAAGTTCGTTAATGTCAATAGGCTATAGATGATGTGAATTTTGAACGTAACATCATGGCGCAATTGGGAAAACATCCCAATATCGTTGAATTGCACATTCCGACCATCATCAAGGACCGTGAGTTTCTAGAAAAACATTTTATCGGTATATTTTTAATAAATTTTTATTTTTCAATATTAAAATAGATGACTTTATTGTCATGGTAAAATGCAAATACGGGAGTATCCTGTATTGGTATCAACATTTTAAATCAGGTGTGTATTCAAAATACTTGGAATGAGCTCATATATTGAAGATTTTCTTTCTTGAATGATTGTTTCAGATGTTAAATTATTGATCAAATGGGCAATTGATGTTGCAAATGGACTAAGATATATAACATCACGTGGATTCGTCCACAATGATATTGCCGCAAGGAACATCATGTTGGATGATGGACCGAATGGACCGATTGCCAAAGTTGGTGACTTTGGTTTGACCAGACGCGTAGACCCAGTCACCAAAGTCTATAAAAAAAGAGATGGTGATAAACTACCACTAGTATGGTCTGCTCCAGAGTGCTTGTATAACAACATCTACAGCGAAGTCTCAGACGTCTACTCGTTCGCCAACTTTATGTTCGAAATTTGTTCGCCTGGACAATACCATTATCCGGGCTATCAAATGAAGAAGCCACCCCATGCAACACCAGCTATGTAAGTGATTTCGATGTTTTTAAAGCGCCTCATGTATTCATGATCATTCTATCATTTACAGGTGTGACTTGATGCAAAATTGCTGGCATAAAGATCCATCTATTCGTCCCAAGTTTGTCGAAATAATCCAGCAACTCACCAGAATGCAGTAAAGAACATCCAGCACTGGGGAATCCTGCGTGAAGGTCATACATAAACAACAACAAAATATGAAGAAAAAAAAAACAGAAAAAATGTTGTGTTTCAAGTTTTCTTGAATCTGTACCACGGTTTTTTTACCATTCAAAATCATCAAAAATACAATTAAACACAACAATTTTTTCGCAAAAAAATCCTGATTGCGTTTGCTATTTTTATTAATTAAGAAACCAAAAGGATATATTCTGAAGACATTTTAATGGATCCATGTTGCATTGTATGGTATTGTCCATTTAGTTGCTACTTGAGCTTGAACGTTTTTTTTTTGTTAAACTTCTTATATTCCATAGAAGGTATTTTTGTAAGTATGAAGATTGTTATTTCGAAGCCTAATGAGCAATTTAGACGTTTTTTTTTCAACAACAAAATCCAAAAGAGAGAAAAGGCATTCACAATTTAACCCTCAACTGCATGAATTTTTCCTAGGACTGGGAGTACTGGTATTTGGTTGATTTTTGGCCATAGATAACGAAAAAAATATTCATAATCCTAGATTTCCCATGGTTTAGTCAGGAAATGCGATAGAAATAAGTCAGAGAACAATGAAATCCATTGTTTAAAAGTGTCAAAAATATGTCTAATTTGGAAACCGAATAATTTATTTTGTCAAATTTTCGTTTTCGTGCACATTTTTGTTTATAACTCACCAATCGTACGACATAGACAAATGACGCCAAAGACAAAAATAAAGAAAAAACATTGACAAATAAAAATTCCCCTTGAAGCAATGTCATCCGCCGTACGATTCACATTATACAGGTGTTTAAATGATGCCCGCCAAAAGGCGGGCTTATGCAGTTGAGGGTTAAATAGAATATTCAGAATAACTATTTCTAGTTAATACAAATAAATTATGATTTTGACACACAATCTTGGGTAACTAAATCCATTCTGTATCAAAATTGTGAGTATTTCAAATGAATATTCTTCACCATTCCATGGCACCATTCATTAAAGTAATTGGTTTAAAACAGAAACTGGATTGACTTTTATTTTGAATCCCATGGAAAAGTTTACGGTTAAGAATATTGATATTCCATGGATCTTGAACCGGATTGTTTTGATTATTACTGCACTGTGATTGATTTTGTGAGATGTCTGTGTATTTTGTACTTTGCAGCTGCGAGCTCATCGGTGTACAAATCACATCGTTCGGCATTTCCAAGCGAATTTCGTACATAAACTCTGGCTTCAGAAAAATTTCTGAAGGTAGGATAACCATGGTTTTGTCCTCTGAACTAATTTCATCTTTATTTACTGCAGTGAATAGTGCTTGACTGCATAAATGATCGAGTCGAATAATTCAGAAATTGAATAATTAAAGTGTTCCTCGCTTCTATCACTCAATTTGTTTGACATATTTCTGTAAATCGTGATTTTCGAAGAATTCCACTTCGGATCTGTTATTAAGTGATTTTTTGCTTCAATTTTTCATCTTTAATTGAATCGTATTGACGCTGTACACGAATTTGTTTGATTGACTGGCTCTGTGATAATTTTCGATAACGACGTCTATTCTATTTGTATCAAGGACACGGACTCTCTTCACCATGAAGCGATGATCCGCATTTTAGAATAGAAAATAGTAAGCGAAATTTGAGTTAGGTAGAGTAATCGTTCCTTTTTCTTCGTACATATTCAGAGCTTTCAGAGGCGCACTTCATTCCCTCACTCATGTAGAACACACAACGGCGCTTATTTCCTCACGAAATAGTGTTTCGTCATTGTGGCAAGTTCGCTGTGCACATTATTTAGGCAACTGGATTAGCGATTCTAATCAGACCGAATTCTACAAAAATATAAAAACAATTTGTCTCATTTAGTTTTGGAACCATTTTTATTATTCAAATACCGGAAATTTAAAGTCTCCGTCAGACGAAAATATAATAAAATTTAACGCTTATCTTCATTCTAAATTATATATGAGTTTGAACACATTTTTCTTTTACTTTTGTACTTGATGGCTTCAGATCTAGCCACGAAATTTGATTCAAGCCCAATTGTTGCCGTTTCCGACGAAACAATTAAAGCTGCCAACGGACACGGACGAAAAACAAGAGAAGAAATCGTTTTTTGTCCGTTTACATTCCGCTTTATTAGCTTAATTTTATTCAATTGTTTGAGGTGCCCATTTTCACAAAGTGTTCATCCCGTGCTTCACGCAACGTACAATTCAAACACCCATTGGGCATCCATTTCAAGAGTAAAAAACAAATTAAACAAATGAACATCGATTGAATGGCATGAAAATAAAATGGATACAATGCGTTTACTACTAATAATATAGCAATAGCATGGGATAAATATTCACCAAAAAGAATAATTGCGATACATCCATACCGATTTGTCAATGAAAATGATTCACTCAATTCAGAATATCCAATGGTGTCGATGGAAAATGCAATAAGTAAATAAAAACAATAGATCACACTGAGCAATTTAGCAATGTTGAATGTGAATATTAGATCATTTGAATCGAACCACTTCGATGCTATCGTTGCCATAAAGAAAATCAGATTCATGCAGCCAATGCAAAGTGTAAGCTTAAAAATGACTCGATTGCGATAGACTTGAAATTTTTCCGCTAACCACAAGAGCGAAACACCAACTACAATTTTTACCAGCGATACAATTACAAAAAATTGAATCATTTGCAGTTCAGGTGGACTATATGAATATGCACTATGTACAAATTTTTCGCTAGATTTAGTTTTGGTTAATAATTGTTTGTGTTCGAGCCAGTGTTGAAAGTCGAACCAAATGTTCGCCAAAAATATCCAGTAAATGCAGCTGTTAGTTAGAAGGACATTTAAAAGGCGCAAACACAATACCACTAACAATGGACGTGAATTACTATTACTGAAAATTTTGCTGCCATCTGTGTTATCTTCCATCAACATCGTTTTAAATTCGTTAAAATCTCGTCGTGTAAAATTCTGCGGTTCATTTCTTAATTTCAACATAATTTCCAGAGCGCATAGATCCTTGCCATTTTTCAATAAAAAAATAATTGACTCATATGTAAATGGCACAGAAATCAGAGTGAAAATGGCCAGTACAAACATTTCGACACCAATTGGTGTGTTAACATCAGTAGAAATGGCTTTCGCTACACTCAAACCATTCTCCGTACAAATTTTGAGTTTTTTACTTCAAATAGGAGTAATACACAATACACTCCATATCGGAGTAAATGTTTGTATGAGTGTATTCCATTGTGGTGTATATTCTATACCATACGAATAGCAGACCATGGTAAATGTGTTTTCTATATCAATAAATGTGATATTGTATCAATCTCTGGATCGATCGATAGTTTTATGATGTGAGATCGATTTTTGACCAAATTTGTAGGTAATACCCAGTATTCAAATCTTCAGAGACCAATATTTTTTTCGACAAAAAAGGTAGTTGTTTCAGACAAAAACAGAGGCTTGATTTTCGACCATTTATCTAAAACCACTGACAAAAAGTTTAGAAATGCTCGTTCTCGACATGAATCCACCAACCAAAACGAAAATGTGTCATATCTGCTATGAACTGCACTTCCCTTTTATGCCATAAAAATATCCTAAGATCAATAAATTGAACAAACCTTTTGTTGTTTTACGTCTCACCTACA